CAGGACCATGCCTTCATTTTCCCTTTGGTAGTTCCTTTACAAGTTGAGGAAATTGAGGCAAAAATTTATTTGCTCAAAGTCACATAACTAGTGTCTGTGGCCAAATCTGAACTCAGGTCTCCCCAACTCTAGGCCCAGAGCTTGAGCCACACTGCCACCGAGCTACCTGGCTGGATTAGCCTTCTCTACTGTTAATTCATCAAAATACTCTCATTAGGGTTCTTGGAGTCTTTTCCTGAGGAGACAGCTGCAACCACATTAGCCCCAGTGCATAATTCTTATTTTAGGGAGTTGTTAAAGTTCCTAAGGACTGGAAAAAAGGTCTAGTCCTCTTTCTTGTTAGTCACATGACCCAGAAGTCACAATGATAGTTTACTTATCAAATCTGGTGGTTTTTTTTTTTTGTTGAACAATCCATCTTCCTGGACATTCATCCCTCTCTGAGTTTTTGTTACACCATTCTCCTGGTTCACCTGCTACTTGTTTGTTCCCTCCTCAGCCCCCTTTCCTGTCTCAGCACCCACATCACAGCCCCAAAATGTTGGTGTTCCCCAAGGTTCTATCCTGGGCCTCTTCTCTCCTCTCCCCCTACACTCTGCCTAGTTGTCATCTAATCAACTCCCACGTGTTTCACTATCATCTCTATGAATATGACTCAGATACACAGGTCCAGCCCCACCCATTCACTCCCTCGACCTTCCGTCCTGTATCACCAACTGCCTATTAGACATTTCAAGCTGTATTTTCCTGGAGACATCTTAAATTCAGCATGTCCCAAACTGAACATTATCTCTATTCCCAAACCTTCTCTTCTCTAAACTTACCTAGTTCTAGAAAGCACCACCATTTTCTCCGTTCTCTCTGATTTCTAAACCCCAATATTATCCTGACCTCCTGTCTCTTCCTCGCCCCACACGTCTAATAAGGTTGCCAAAACCTGCTCCTTCACCTTTCACGATATCTATCAAATCCAGCTTCCACTCTTTACTTACAGTTACCCCTTTAGCTCAGGTCCTCATCACGTTTTTGCCTACATTAATGCACCAGCCTCCTAAGTGGTATCTCAGCTATAAGAATCTCATCACTCCAGCCCATGTGACACACTGCTTATCAAAGTAATTTTCCTTAAGCATAGACTCGACCGTGTCAGTCACCTACTCATTCCACCCCAAAGGTTTCTTATTGCCTGTAAAATAACATGTAAACTCTTCTGTTTAACTTTAAAAAGCCCTACACAACCTAAGCCCAACCTGTCTTCTGAACCTCATTCAACATGACTCACCCCCACCCCACCCCACTATCAGACACAACCGAACTGACCTCTTTTTTGTTTTTCACACACTCCAGCTCCCCCATCTGTAGAAATTTGTACTGGCCATCTCATATGCCTGGAGTTCTTACTTTTGCCTCAGAATTTCTCTCTTCAAGATACAGCTCAAGCACCTTCTTCTATATGAATCCCTCCCTGATCCTCCCTCCCTCCCAAACTACCTTGTAATTAACTTCTTTTATATATTTATGTTACCTATATTTTTATAAGTACTTGTCATTCTCCCCATTAAAATGTAAGCTTCTTTTAAGTAAGGATTGTTCAGTCTTTTGAATGTATATCATCAGTGCCTGGAACACAGTAGGTGTTATACTTTTTAGCTGACTGCCCAACAATTGAGTATTTATTTTACTGGGACCGAAAAAATGAAAGATGCTGTATTTGCCATGAGTCATTCCTTAATACAAAATCAGTGAGCGTGCTTAAGTAAATTTAATGCTACAAATGAAAAATATGGTCCATTCTTGTTTTGATGTGTATGCTACTTTCTAGTAGTAGTTAACAATACTGAATTTAATTATTGACTCAACGTCTTAGGAAAGAGAGGGACCTTTAGTATACAAAATGGCTGTTTTGCCTGAATATAGGCTGAAATCCTCAAATTTATCCCCAAAATGAGATCTTCTCGATAGGAAACATATGTAGGTATATACAATAAAAACACAATTACACATAAGCTTTAATAACTTAGAACTGCACAAAGACTTCTGCACAAAGACTTCTGGGACTATATTTTTAGATCTGCACTTTAAGTAAATCACTCTGGCAACTCTGTTGAGAATGGATTAGATGAGCCTTGAGGCAAGGAGATCAATTAGAAGATTGCTGCTATAGTCCAGGCAAGAGGTGATGAGAGCCTGAGCAAAGAGGTGTTTTGAGTGAAAAGAAGAAATGCATACAAGAGATGCCATGGAACAGAAATGGTAAGACTTGGTAATGGTTTAAAGACAGAGGAATTGAAGAAGACAAAAAAATTTCAACCTGAAGTGAATGGAAGGATAGTAGTACCACTCTCAACAATACGGAAATTAAGAAGAAAAATGGATTTTAGGGAAAAATAATAAGTTCTGCTTTAATATACTGAGTTTGAGATGTCAATGGGACATCAAATTCAAAATGTCCAACAGGCATGTTTCCTTTATTTGATCTCATAGCGCTTATTTCCCTTCTGCCCTTATAATACTATAATTTTTATTTTCTGTGTACATCTATTATCCTTGCTATACTGTAAGCTCCCTAAGGAAAAGCATTGTTTTATATCTTCTCCAGAACCCAATACAATACTTTGCACACAGTAAATATGTGATATAATTAATTCATGAATGGAAGAAAATGGTTGCCAGTGATTTTCTCTTTCAATTTTTCTGGTGCACTGACTTTTTGGCATAGCTTGAACACCTTAGTACTATGGCCTATCAAATCTATCTTAAGCCCAGACTTCAGAATTTCTGTATTTCTAACTTCTCATAGGGCATTTATCTTGGATGTCTTACTTTGAACTTGGTATTCTAAAATTATATTCATCAACCTTTCTCTACTCAAAATAACTTTCCTATTTCTGTCAACAGACAATCTTGAAACCTCAAAATTATCTTTGACTCTTTTCTCTCCATCACCTATACTTAGTCACCAAGTTCTGTTGATTCTTCTTTGAAATCTTTCAAACTGCTCCCTTTTGCTTTATTCCCACTGGAACCACCCTAGTAAAGGCCTTTATTACACAACTGTTGCATTTTGTTCTTATCAAGGCTCTGCTCCAATCCAACCTACACACCACCTCCAGACTAATCTGTCTCAAATCCCAATTTTGTCATGACACTCCCTGCTTAAACATTCCAATGCTTTCAGAATAAAATCCAAACCCCTCAAACAAACATTCAAGGCTTATGATACAGCATCACTCAGTCTACTGAATTTTATCCTTTCCTGCTCTTCATATAAACCTTGCCTTCTCGCCAGACTAATTCCCTTTTTGTTCCCTTAATATTGTTCATTCCAACTCCAGGCCTTTGCTCAAACTATCACCCACTCTTCAAAACTTTCCCTTCCTTCTTCTCTCCATCTCAATCCTATTGACTCTACAAGATCTAGCTCAAACCCAATTCCCTCTATTAAATCTTCACCCCGGTGCTCACCCAGATCTCTCCTTTCTCTGAGTTCCTATGGTGCTGATTTCTGTTACTGTTTCTGATATACTTAGTAATATACTGCTTTGCATTGTTACCTAACAGCTTGGAAACGTGCGCACACATACATATACAAGCAACTCTCTAAGGCCATAAATTGAAGAAAAGTTGCTGGCAGAGGTAATTTCCTATACCAATAAAATCCTAAGTCTGCACAAAAAAATACGCAGATATATCTTTTCTTTATGTCTTATCTTTCTAGAAGATGTTAGGCTTCCAGAGAACAGTGACCATGGTTTATTTTTTAAATTTCCTTCAGGACCTAAGGGAGTTCTATGCGGTAAGGAAACATAGGGGACCCTACTGAGTCCTTAGCTCCTAGGAGGCACAGATTACAACCAGACCTAACCCACTACCCATCCATCTTTAATTCTATTCATCTGACCAAATTACCAAGTAGCTGGATGCTTCCACCTCCACTTACATCCTTAACATTTGTTGCTGTTGTTGAGTCACTTCAGTCATGTCTGATTCTTCAGGACCCTGTTTGGGGTTTTTGTGTCAAAGATACTGGAGTGGTTTATCATTCCTTCTCCAGTTCATTTTACAGATGAGGAACTGAGGCAAACAGAGTTAAGTGACTTGTCCAGGGTCACACAGCTAGTAAGTGGCTGAGGGCAAATTGCAACTCAGATCTTCCTGACTCCAGGGCCAGAACTCTATCTACTGTGCCACCTAGCTGCCCAAATCCTTAATATAACCACCCAGTTTTCAGTGCCACCCTGGAATGCTTCAGTTCCTAGACACTTAACCTGTAGCTAGGGTGAACTTAACATTTCACACAAAAGGTACACATAAACTTAGGATTCAAAGAAACTAAGTAAGGCTAAATTTCCTAACCTAATCTAGTTTCATCCTGAATTCCAACCAAGGACAGACCTAGCTCCACAAAGCTACAGATCACCATCTTTGGCTGGGAGAAAAACACCACACATTTCTTCTCTTCCCCTTCCTATCTACTTCCTGTCTCTCTTCTAGATGCTCCCTCCAACTCTTGGTTCCAAAGTTTTATGTAATTAATACTGCAATAATTACTTCACTGTATCCCCAACACTACAAACATCACCAGATAAATATGACTATTAATACATAGGTTAATACTCGGGATGTCTATCCCCAAAACGCCCAACAGTTTACAAAGAAAACTTGATTATTTACAGAAATGTATATGTGTGTATATAAGTATGTGTGTGCATATATACATATGTGTATATAAATAATAAATGTAAATAAAGTAAGCATCTCAATAAATACTTTGTGCTTCTCAACATGTCTATCTAAAAAGGTAAAGATGCGCACATAAAAATATCTAGTATATTTCAGAAATATTGCTAAGTTCTTCTATTGTTTTTCACAAGTCATGTGATTAGGTTGTTAAAATATTATTATGCTATATTATTATGTTAATTGTTACTTGAACATGATTGTTAGTTAACAGCCAAGCTAGTTTCTGGCAAAGTATTTTCCATTAAGTTATTGCTTACCTGGATCAAAATTATCACCAAATATTCTTTTGGCAGGAATCTTCATTGTCATAGTTGGAAATTGTTTCTTTAGCTAAAATTTTAAAAATAAAATTACATGCACTAACAATTTTACAAATCAAATATTAATTCATAGAAACTAAATAGTCATCTGATTTTTTAAAACTTCACCCTAAGATGTCCTTTCTTGTAAAGATGATCACATATGATCACTCAGCATACAATATTAACTTGTATTAACACTAAAGTCTAACTCTGATGCCCCATCCTAGCACGGAAGTGACTCTGGGTTCTTGAGGGCTACGCCAGCAAAATGTAAGCTCTGGTAGAGTCTACCTAAATGGAAAGGCTTCTGGCAGACTCCTTGCAACAGACAAACGCAGCTTTCTGAGGTTGACTAAGACAGCTGAACTGACAAGTGCAATTCCCAGTAGGCTTGCTAGTTGGTGAGGAATTCTTTGGCCAAGCCAACCCATAAAACAAACATAAAATGGTGCTGAAGTCTTACTTGCTGCCTTCCCTCTTTTGCAGTGATTGAAGGGGAGATAAGAGGACCGGACTCTTATCCGGTCCTTATCCGGTTAAGAATCACATAGTTTTTAGACTGTCTATAAACTGTAATAGGTAATAACAATTATTAACTTTAATCCATTGAGAAAAGATGTCATTTGTGTTTTCTTCACATAAATAACAATAGTTTTCCATTATAGTACTTATAGTACAGTAGCCTGGCACACAGTAGATATGTAATAAATATTTATTGATTGATTGATCACAATGTCTTTTATCTTGGTTGCCTCCTTATCTAGTTTTCACCCATTAGGACGTTAATATAAATTAGTGTATCAGATTACATATGTTTTACCTTACCAAGGCATAGAGAACCTGAAGAGCAACACACATTTTGGTCTCCATTTCCTCATCTATAAAGCAGGGATAATACTACTTGTACTAGCTATACTGTAGAACTGTTTCAAAGATAAAGTATCATGAATGTTAATTGTCTGGCAAACTATAAAGCTCTACGTTAGTATGAGCTGTTATAAAGATAGAAGTTTCAGGAATCCAAAGGAGACTAAACATATAATTCAACTGGTAAATAAAATGTGAACATAGCATTTTTACTTTTATCTTTTGTTTCATGTCTGAAGTGAACATTACTTTCTGATTTATGGTCAGGTTTGGCCTGATTTATTCCCCTAATTGCTACCACATTGATATCATTTCTCATTTCTCCCTCATCTTAAAGCAGGCCTACACAACCTATGGCCCACAGGCCCACCAAAGGATTTTGGGCAGCCCAAAAAAATGTAGAGGATGTTTTCCTCTACATTTTTCGAGGGCCACCTGAAATCCTGCAGGTTAAAGACTGAAAAAAATCCAAAGGGTAAAGGAAGGGAGGGAAATGCAGAAAAAGCAGGGGCAGAGAAAAATATAAAGAGAGCAAAAAGATACACAAACAATGCAGAAAAGAGGGGTAGGGAGAGGAATGAAGAAAATAGCAATGAACTTGCCTCTCACAAATCAAAATATGGAAAATGAGATTTTTAATAGAATTTTTTTCTCTTAAAATGAAAAAAGAAGAACCAAGCAAACTATCTACTTCACTATTTTGCCTAAAACACTATGGTCTGACACCATATCCAAGAACTGTCACACAAAGGGATCAAAAAGCCACTATCAAAGACCTCAGTGTTAGGATTTTCTAAACTTGATACCATATAAGAAAAATCTGCACTGGTGGAATATTTCCACACCAAGAATTACCTACACTAAAGAACTCATAGATCCAATATATATGTGTATCTATGTATGTACACAGATAGATATTATGTGTGTATAAATATAGAATGCTTAAATGTTAGAAATTTTTAAATGTTAGTATCTTGGACTCCATCTCTTAGTATCTCTCCCACCTAAAAAAAGCTGGAGACATTTATCCCTTCCTAATCTGTTTCATATCCAATTGAAAGACAAAATTTTTTTAAAAAATCTTTAGAGGTTCTATGAATACCTGCAATCACATGATTTCTAGCAAATATATACATATATACTTCAAATTTAACTAAAAATTATAGAAAATAAGCCCATTTGCTTCAGTCTTACATTTTGTTTCAAGAGGGTGGCTTAAACCACGTTAAACCTCTTTGAAGTGTATTAAATTTAATCAAAATCAGGCAAGACCCAACTTCCAACATTTATTAGAACCTCTTTAAGCAATGACACATTGTCTAAATACTTGAACTCTTGAACACAGTAATACATTTCTGAAGGAAGTGACACATGACAATCACAGAAAATATTTTGTAAATTTAAATCACTGCATAGTTACTTTTATTTCCCAATTTATATAGTATTATTGATAGTCTAAGTAAACAGGAAAAATATATTTGTTTCTGATATTTATTTTCATCACATCAAACTGTTCTGTATTACTTACAAACCTAACAATTAATTTCTCATAAGAATTTTTTTTTTTGTGAGGCAATTGGGGTTAAGTGACTTGCCCAGGGTCACACACCTAGTAAATGTCAATGTCAAGTGTCTGGTCTGAGACCGGATTTGAACTCAGGTTCTCCTGACCCCAGGGTGAGTGCTCTATCTACCGCGCCACCTCATAAGAATTTTGTAAAAGATAACTTAGGTAGACTGGAATTTGTTCCCAGACAAACATGGACCAGCTGGTATGAGTGGGTGTTGGTACTGACCCTTTCGGCAACCACCTGTCAAGAAGGAAGCTATCAGGGAGGGAGCCCTTGGGGGCTGCCCTGCCTGCTGTGTCCATGGGGTGCCTTAGATTTGATAGAAAAGACTGTGTGGGTCACTCTCACCTGAGATTACCAAGTAGTAGGAAAATTACATTCATTAAAAGCAAATGCCTTTAGTTTATCTGTAATCCAGAGCTTTGTATCAGGGAGAACCACTCTTCCCACAATACCATTTAATACATTTTAGACATAGCTACCCTAAAAATTCCATTACAAAAGATGGACAAAAAAAGCAGAAAAGGATGAAATTGTATTTTCTCTATAATCAGTCTTAGCTGCTCCATAAAAGAGTATTATTTTCCATATAATTAATTGCCAACTATTAGGTGATATTTACTGTGCTACTTTGAGTTTTTCTCTAAGTCCACGATAAAGGATCAACCCAAAGCAAGGAAGTCCCTGCTGGTTCTTTTTAGTATTTTTGGGAATACCAGAGTGGTGTTCTGACTGTCTATCTCCTCTCTCTCATTCTAACTACAAGTCTAGCTCACTTCCTTTTGTAGTCATGTTGTCTTTATTATTTTTTATGCCACTAACACAAACCATCATTAGTAACTCGATGCAATGCTATGCATGCCATGCATCAGTCTATTTCCCTTTGGGTTATTTGCAATTTTGATTCTTCTAAGATCATGATGACATTCCAAAACTAACAGTCACACAGCATCCCTAGAAGAATACTATTTTTAAAGTTGTGAGCTTTTAAAATACTGACCAGTCTGGGATTGCTAAAAACATGTTGCAATTTCCTAAATATAATCCTAACTTATTTCCTCAAATTATTACTTAATTCTAGGCCTAGCTTACTGCCTAGCTATCCAAAATGCACATAATGATGAGCTAATTCAGTAAGTTAGCTACCAGTTACAGCCTAAGCATTAACATACTTTTTCATCCACTTCGTTTTTCCAAGGAGGATGGTTAGGATATTCCTTTCTCATTTCTGTAGGGTTTCACTTTTCAGTATACTTTGCAAAGAGTACAATGTAACACGTAAGTTAATAGGGAATCTTTCTTTTGATTTGACTCTGCACAAGATATCTTACTAACAAACCACTAAGATGAGCCTATTCCTCCTTATTTTATACCTGATTTGTGTATCACTGGACAAAAGGACTCCTTATAGCCCTGTTAGATTCTTGTACAATTTTGGTGAATGTCTGAGATGTTTTGTTTGAAGAAAGCCTTTTCAAGTCTGCAATTAGTTCTACCAAGTCATATGCTCAGAAACAAAACATCAACAAACAGACAGCAGGATGATAGAAAAATTAGCAGCAAAAGCCTATTCTCTTCTCATGCTGTCATCAAGGACAACACTGATACACGGACAGGCCATTCTTACAAAGCTTTTTTATAACTGCAGAGGCCTTCTTGGACGCTATTTTTTATTTTTTTGAAGGGTGGTTAAAGCACTGCAATAATTTCCATGATTTCGGCATCCTCCCTTGATAAATCTTTCACTGTGAATCCTGAGTACGCTGAACACTGTGCTGTGTCCATTAGCATGGATTATTTCTGTCTCTATATATATATATGTATTTCTGTATTGGTCGGGTTCAGCTGCTCTAACTTCTACCTTTTATTTATTTATTTTTTGTTTTTGTTTTTTTGATGAGGCAATTAGGATTAAGTGACTTGCCCAGGGTCACACAGCTAGTAACTGTTAAGTGTCTGAGGCCGCATTTGAGCTCAGGTCCTCCTGACTCCAGGGTTGGTGTTCTATCCACTGTGCCACCTAGCTGCCCCTAACTTCCACCCTTTAAAGTACTGTCTTCACCTTCGTAGTAAGTTAGGTATTAAAAGTGTTGGAGTCCAAACGCTATATAGTTCTACTTTCACTGCCATTACAAGTAAACCACTGTTAAAAAATACCAAGAATCTGTTTCATTTTGCATCTGCTTGTTGTCCTGCTTTCTAATTTCATCCACAAATTTTCTCAATGTTCTAGCTTAATTAGATCTTATAACTGCTCCTCAACTGCTTTCTTTAAGTTCTGTAAGGCAATTTTGCTTAGATCTTCAGTCATCTTCTGTGACATTTGGCAAATGAGCTCATACTTGAAATAGTGGCAAGAGTAGCAACCTCAGAATCAGGTGTCCATTGTTCAGTCAGATCACTGACTGGATAGCAAAGGATGAAGTAAATTCTAAATTACAATAACTGAAGATAGTGCCTTATTCTTTATATCTGGCAAAGAGATTAAGGGCTTGCTGGCTGAGGCAACTTTTGGACTTTGAGCTTCTTCCTTTGTGACAACTATTTTAGATCAATCAACAAGAATATTTTACTATGTGCCAGGCACTGTGATAAGTACCGATGACACGAAGGCATAAGTGTCCTTGTCCTAAAGGAGCTCTCGTTATAATAAGGCAGACAGTGTACATAAATAGGGACATACAAGACGCATACAGAATAGAAGAAAGGTAACCCGAGAGGGAAGGTTCTACAAGCTGACGTCCAAGGAGAGGCTCTGATAGAATGTGGCATGGGAGCTACTGAAGGACGCCAGGAATTCTAAGAAGGGCTAAAAAGCATTTATTAAATGCTTATTATGTGCAGGAATACAAATAGAAAAGCAAAACCGTTCTTTCTCTAAAGGAGCTAACATTCTAAGAAAGACACCACATATAGGAGGTTTCAGATGCCAAGTCAGATGGTACTGTATCATCTTTATGTTATTTCCAACATACTGATGTTGAACCATTTGAATGTGTGCAAAGGACTTTCATGATGTGTACTTTCTTATATTCAGTAACTGTGGGCCCAATCTACAGGACACTAAGGAGGCAGAGGCTGCAGCAGCTGGAGAACCAATTGCCAGGTTACATCTACACACCGGTTGATTCCCTGGATGACAGCTGCAGGGGCTAGGCTGGAAGCAGGGCTGCTGCTGTGGTAGGCACTGCTATTCTTGAAGCTCCTGGACCTCAGGTGCTGAAATGTCTCCATCCGGGTCAGATGGGAAGTGATCGTCAAGATGGTAATAGTGGTTTTATTTGCTAGGCACATATTTCTCCCTGCCTCTTTCTCAAGACGCCTCTCTGCTTCATCTAGGCTGGCTTGCCTGCCCTGTGAGTGGCACTTGGTGGGGGTGGCTGACTCCTTCTTCACAGAAGCACTGGGAAAGTCAGTGACTAGGCTAGTAAGGTTGGATTGAATGTGCATACGGAAGAAAACCAGAAAATTAGGAAGGAACAAGGTTGTGAAGAGTTTTAAATATCACATAAAGGGTTCTAGGTTTGATTAACAAATAGAGAGCTGAGAGTTTACTGAGGGGGCTTGGAAGTATGTGACATGGTTAGAATTATACTTTAGAAAGCTGTGTGGAAGGTAGAATAGAATTCAGTGAAACCTGAGGCAAGAAGACCAATTAGAAGGGTATTACAATAATCCAGGCAAAAAGTGAAAAAAGCCTGTACTCAGGTGGTGGCCATATGATTGGTAAGAAAGGGACTACAAGAGATGTGAAAGTCAAAGCGACAAAGATAGTAACGAACCGAGGAGGAGACCAAGGTTGCAAACCTAGGTGAACTGAGAGAATGGTAGTGTCCTTGACATATGGAAGTTCCTAAGAGAAGCAGGTCTGAAAAGAGAGATTTAAGTTCTGTTTTGGACATGATGAGTTTGAGATGTCTATGAGATACCAGCATGAACTGGCCAATAAGAAGTCATGCATAAGGGACAGAAGCACAAGAGAAAGATTACAACTGGGGACTGCACAGACACACACCCCAGTGAATCATTTAGATACTGATAACTGAACCCATGGGAGAGGATAAGATCACCAAGTGAGATGGTATAGAGAGAAAAGAGAAGAGGGCCCAAGACCAAAGAAGGGTCCTTGTGGGACCACCACAATTAGTGAGCATGGCATCAGATGAATTGTCCATTTCTAAGTTTTTGCAATCGACAACTTTACAGAAGTACAAATGGAACTGCTAATAACTGAGCTTACCATATTCACCTTTTATTCTAATTTGGGATTTATCATGACCTTTTCTACACTGCACATCCTCATCTAATTCGAAAGTGATGACCAGGCCGGTAACCAGTTACTTCCTGTCTTTTAAGGCATGCAGTACTCAGTTTCTCCCCTTCCCTTCCTCTCCTCCCTCTCTCTTTACCCTCACTCTTTCTTTATCTCTCACAACCTTCACTCCTCTCCCCCCACGTCTCTGTGTTTATCAGTACCTTCTAACTCTACTTGAAAAATTTAAGATGTACAAGCATGAGTCACCCAAGCAGTCCTAAAACCTTCTGGATCCTTTATTTTCTTGAAAATGAACTGTATTGTTCAGCACTGTTGATGTTCCCCAGCACCTACCCATTCTGTGCTTGGATAACTGGGTATCAAGGAATTTACTGTCTTAGTCTAGAGTATCTTACTAAGTTCTTCATAGAATTTCTCTATTTCTTCACTCTCTGCAATAGATTATAACACATAAGCTGTAACTATCTTCAGGTTAGTCTAATTGTTTAGAACATTATGTGTATGGTGAAATGAGCAAATGATCTGTAAAATTATGTTCTTTGTTTCAGGGAGCACAGGACCAATGCCAGCAAATTACTTATTCACCTCTCCAAGGAGAATCTGGGAACCATCTTTCCATTTAGCTCCAAAATCTTTTCCAACTTCATTTATATCAAGATTATTAGTATGGATATGGTTCAGTGTCTCCATCAGGGTATCACTTCATTAGTCATCAAGCAAAGATTGCACGTTAAGAGTACCACCTGTTAAATTAATGTTTACAGTCGAAAAATTGTGATTCTTGTACCTTTTTTTTCTTTTTAGCTATTCCACTATCATGGAAGAATAATCAATCAATCAATAAACTATGTGCCAACCACTGTGCTAAGCACCAGTGATTCAAAATGAGGAAAAAGACAGTCCCTGCCCTTGATAATCTTAAATTCTAATAAGAAAGGGCTACATTAGACTAAGAGCATTTTGCATTTATGTCAATTTCAAGGCTTTACTATTTAGGAAAAGGAATTAAACTATTCGATGGCCAACTTTCTGATTTTAAGTCTTCTACACTTAGCTTGGCTATAATTGCTATCATGTGTAGACGGCAGCCTTTCACCAGGCCAATACTCAAAGCCTTTCCATCTGAAGGTGTCAAAAAAAAAATAATACTAGCTGGCACTGATGTTGCACTTCTGAAATTTACAAAGTGCTTTACAAACATTACTATCTTATTTGTTCCTTATAACTATCCTGGGAGACAGGTACTAAAGGTATTATCATTCTTCCTATTTTACAGATAAGCAAAGAAGTTAAGTCACTCACTGGTGGTCAGTTAGTAAATGCATTGCAGCTTTAAAGCCTAGCTATCTCCAGGGGGCAAATCCATTGGTCTTTCTACTACACCACTCAGCATTTTAATCACAGTGAAATAAATTTAGGATAGAAATATGACAACTATTTTCTTGCCCCTGAGTGAAATAGATTTAAACGCCAAAAACACCTACTTGTGAGAGAAATCATAGCACTAATTTAATCACTTATTCCAGCTCTCAATTTAAAAGAAAAAAATAGTTATAACACGTTTGGACTGTTGCTTTACTTATTAGTAAGGTATAGTTTATATGCTGGCCCCCCATTTTTATAAGATATTTGTAACAATTAATCCCTGGGGTATGATTAACTTAAACAAACATGAAAATACATTTCCTGAATTTAAATAGCAAAAGTCCTGGCCCTCAGAGAACTTCGGAGAATCAGTTACTTATTTCAGTTGTGTCAAGTTTTTTATATCTAGGGAAAGTGAAACATCTCTAAGAGCTAATCAAAGTGGTCTCACAGAAGAAAACCTGGGCTCACAAGGATGGTTGGGCTCATGAGATAGGCTTTAAAAACTAATCAATTTGTTGGATTTACCAAGCAATATCATTATTAACAATTCCCAGGGAGATGGAATGGCATCCCCCTTACAGACTCTGATGTATATTTTAAGTACATTTGAAGCTTCTCAGATGTACTTCAAATGATCTTGTGACGAATTTAGGATAATTCACATTTTTAAAAAAATTATCAAGAAGCTATTTTTTATGAAGCACCACATGCCTTTTTCTTAAGCAGAATAATGAGCATTACAATGTAAATTGAACTCAAATAAATACTTTGTTGTTGGATCTTTCTAGGATGATTTTTGTTTTAATTGAATTTTGTAGACAGAATCTTACTCACTGTGTTATAAAGCTTATCAAATTCAGCATATCTCCTGAAGACAAACCATTCATTCCTTCCAACTGAAACTAATACTTTATAAACCTGTAAAAATAAAGGGAAAATTAATTTAACTACAAACAGAAAGTGCCAAGCATATGTGATTTACCAGGATGCAAAATCATGCCCATTAAACCAGTTTAATTTTCTTTTATCATGCACAAGTTCAAATGAAATTATTACATAAGAATAGAAAACTTTCACTGCTTTAAAATGCAAAGGTTATAGGTTTATAGAAACTACAAAGTTTTAAATACAATAATGATATTCATTTAAAAAATTAAGATACTTATGATTCAAGAGAAAAGTATTCTCAAGAAAACTACAATTGTGCACAGAATAAAATTAGCTTCTAAACAGAAGCTTAAAAACTTTTTTAAAAGCATAAATACTTTTCCCTTCTCCAAAGTTTTGGCTGAGATTAGGTTTCAGGTTTGGGAGGGGAAGGACAATAGTGGTTCTAATGTTATGCTTTACTTCCTAAGCAAGTAGAGGTCAACACCATTCCCTTAGTGACTAATCAGTAAAGTTTCAGAGTGGGACACTTAGGGATATTGTGGACTACATTCCTCTCTCACATGAGAATCTCACAAAACCAAGAAAGGTAGAGAACTGACTTGGACATCTCCCAGATAAGTCTTCACCATCAATGAAAGTTCTATACAAGTTCAGAAAAAATATCTTGTCTGCTAAGTTTTCCAGTGTACTTCATTTGAAATATCCTAGTCCTTTCCAGCTCAACGACTTATTTTTCCTAAAAATCCCTATTATTCAATTCGTCATACTGGCAATCCCATACCCAAACATTCACAAAATAGGATAAAGACATCTGGGTATAGTATAATGATACAGATATGGAGCAATTGTTTATATGGAAATCATCTTTAGAGCTGAAGTTGAAATAAATACCCCATATCCTTTTTAACAACAGTGTCTTCTTTCTGCATAATGCATTATAATCTACAAAGTATATTTGCAAGCATTAATTATCTCACTTGATCCTCACAACTACCTGGTGAGGTAAGCAGGAAAGGTATTTTGTATCTACTTTACAGATAAGAAATAATTCAACAATTCAATTCAACAAATATTAATTATGTGCACACTAAGTAAAAGGAACTGTGACTAAAGAGAGAAATATAAAACCATTCCCACCCACAAAGGGCTTACATTTTACTAGGTTATGTCCCCTGTACATAAATCTAGGTTCAGAAAGGTTAAAGTGCCCAAGATCAGATGTTTATTAATTAGAAGCCCTGGAATCCATGTCTCTTGATTTTCTCCATGCACCAGTATAATCAACTTCGCTTTAAAAAAAAATCAACAACAGGGAGGGGGAGAAAATCTAAAACTCAAAATCTTATGGAAGTGAATGGTGAAAACAAAAAATTAATTAATTATTTAAAAGAAAATATCGACAACACATCCTTCAGGGAACCACATTGTATCAACATATAGGAGACATGGCCTTCAAAGAATTTATATTCAGAAATACTTTTAAACATGAATTCACTGCAGGACATGTAATGTGTAGAAAAAATTATGACATATTTAGTAAATATTTTGGGAGGTTATAAAATCTCCACAAAAGGTAAAATCCAAAACACTTCAGGTTTTTTTTTCAGAAATGCTTTAGACAACAAAGCAAGGTGACACAGGAAGAGTTCTACTAAAAATTACATATAATTACATTTTAATAATAATAATAATTATTATTATTATAATGATAATAACTATTATTTATGTAGTACCTTTTATGTGCCAGGCACTGTGCTAAGCACTTTACAAATATTATCTCAAGTTATTCTCACAACTCTGTGAAGTAGGTGGTATCATACCCATTTAATAGTTGAGGAAACTGAGGCAAACAGAGGTTAGCAACTTGCTCAGCCTCACACAGCTAAGAAGTGTCTAAGGCCAAATTTGAACTCAGGTCTTCCTGAATCCAGGCCCAGTGCTCTATCCACTGTGCCACCTACCTGACTCTTAACAATATACTGGAATACATAATATAATGTATGATTACATAATATAAAATAATATAACATAATATATACAATAACATATTACTAGCCTTGAGGCCATGTGTGGCCTTCTAGGTCCTCAAGTGCAGCCCTATTCAGTCAAAGGGTCGCACTTGAGGATCTTGAGGGCCACACGTGGCCTCGAGGCTGCAGGTTTCCCACCCCTGTAATCCAGGCACTGTAGTAGGTTCTGGGGATAGAAAGACAGAAGTGAAACATTCCCTGCTTTCAAAGAGCAGACAATCTAGCGAGCAAAGACAGAGGCAAGAGCTGCGGTTGACACAGAATCAACAAGACTTGGTAACCGATTAACAAACCGAGTAAGTGATGAGGAAGAGTTGAGAAGGACCAATGTATAAACCTAAGTGCCTGGAAGGGCCAGAAAGAAACAGGAAGTTGGGAAAACGAGTAGCTCTGGAGGAAAAGATAATGAGTTCCTTTTTGGACGTGCTGAGTTTGAGATTCGTACAGGACAGTTCAAAAAGTCCAGTGGGCAGCTGGTGACACAGTAGTTGAATTCAGGAAAGACAGGAGAGCTAGATATATACATCCAAGAGTCAACGGCACAGAGATGATCATTAAAACCCTTGGGAGGGGTCACCAAGAAAGTGTAAAGAGAGAAGAAAGTCAAGAACAGAGCCTTGGGGGGTACCCACAATAAGAGGGAAAGGGTTGCTGAAATGTCAGTGTGCCATAAAACACACAATACATGTCTGAGAGCAGTAAGGACTTCTAGGGTCCTGAAATGTAACAACTATTATTCCATTTATATAACATTTCAACGTTCACAGATTGTTTTCCTTAGAATCTTGTGAGGTAGGTATCTCAAATATTTTAGCATCCTTATTAACTGGATGAGTGAACAAAGGCTGAGAGATGTTAAAAAAAATTTTGGCCAAAGTCACACAACTGCTGTAAGAACTGAAATCCAAGCCAAGATCTCTTCTGAATCCAATTTCATCATTCTTTCCACAACACTGAACTATCTCAATGAGGAAGAAACATACTCCAAAACATGGGCAGGAAGGCATCTGGACTTGTACAAGTTACCCTAGGGAGAAAACTGTCTCCACCTTTTCATGCCTGAAATTCCTTTAACTGTGAGCAAAGCATTTCATGAATTCAATTGTAAATACCCTTACTCAGTACCTACTTCATCTTTGTATCCCCAGTGCACAAAGATGAAGTATAACATTTCTGGCTCTCAAAAAATTTATAATCTAGTGAGGAAGGTGAGATATACACAAATAATTATTATGCACGTTAAAACATGATTAACTGCCTGGACAAATTGGCAAGAGAGATTCCAAAGGCAAAAAGATCCCTTCTACCTGGAGGATGAAGAGGAAAGATGTACAGAAGGCATCACAGAGTAGGGTGTGCCTCATCTGGGTCTTGAAAGAGAAGGATTTCAATGGGTAAAGATGTGCAGGATGCCATGTACAAATGAGCTGTGACAGAAGAAAGCAGGGGAAGAGCAAGTCGATCACTTGGCTAGGGCAACACCCAAGTTCACCAGAGCTCACCAGGCTCCTGGATGACCTCCCAAGTGGTCTCCTCGCTCCCATTCTCTCCTCTCTCTGGTCCATCATTCAGAGATACAGAATCACAGAATTTGGCTGGTATGTGGAAATGGAGGAAGAAGAGAATAAAAGCACAGATTCTAGCTGTGGAGACCATGAAATCTGTCACAGCCTCCAGAAAACACAAGTTTCTGGTTACTTCTGTTACCACACTGATGATTCTACCCTCCTCCCCCTTCAGAGGCTTTTATGTACCAGTCAAATTCTGTGATTCTGCATGTGTCAAGAATGGGCTAGAGAGAGGGGCAGCTAGGTGGCGCAATGGATGGAGCACCAGCCCTGAAGTCAAAGGATCTGAGTTCAAATCCAGCCTCAGATCAAACACTTGACCCTTACTAGCTGTGTGACCCTGGGCAAGTCACTTAACCCCAATTGCCTAAAAATAAATAAATAAACAAACAACAACAAAAAGAACGGGCTAGAGAAGGAAGGAATAGAGACCAATTAGAAGAGTATAAAGACCAATTGATTTCTGATCTTTCTGAGCTGATAGACAATTTATACCTAGTAGGTATTTTCTTGGTCATCTCTTGGCAGCAGGCAGGGGAAAATTAGTCAGCCAAATATTAAGTCATATGGATGGAGCACCACAGCAAGCCATCCATGCCATCAGGAGATTTCTTGATTGTCTGAGAGTGAGTGGAGGACAGGAAGAATAAATCAATGAACTCAAGCCAAGGAAATGGAGTAGGAAAAACGAAAATCAGAAGAGAAAATGACATTCCCCTCTGTGGGCAATAGGACAGCAGATGTAAAGGTAACTGGTTCTCAATGTAAAGAGAATCATAAACTATAAATCATAGCCCCAGAAGGCTGGGCCTGGGGTGCCTGAGTTGAGGATTAAGCTAGCATAAGTTTAAGTGCCAATCAGTTTGAGAGTAGAAAATTTCATTGGTAAGCAAGCACTTCTAAATAGCTCATCTTTTTGTCTTTTTCTGAATTCTTACATTCTCTTCTCCCTTGTAACCTTAGTTCTTCACAATTACCTCTCCAGTCTTCCTAGCTCCACTGGCCCATCTTTGGCTCCCCCACAAACATCCCCTTCTCTCCCTACATCTCCTGCTCCCTGCCTTTGCCTGTGCTGTCTCCCTGTGCCTGGGATGCTCTCTCTCCTCAACTCTGGCCTTTTACGCTCCTTTGCTTCTTCTTTCAAGACTCAGCTCAAAGGCCACTTTCCTGGTCCCCTCAGCTGCTAGAGCTTTACCTTCTAAGGTTACTGTCCATGCGTCTTTTCTCCCTACCTATTTACACATTGTCTCCCCATTGAAGTATAAGTTCTTTGAGGGCGGAACTACTTTTTCCTCTCTTTGTATCCCCAGAACTTAGCACAGTACCTGGCACACAGTAAGCACTTGTACAATGAAGTAGTTAAAGATAAGGCAGAATGGAAAGAGGAAATAAGAAAGGCAGAAAGAGGCAGGGGAAGAAAATGAAGAAAGTTTTTAGGGATCTGGCATAACTTTTCTCTAAATCCATAAGCAAGATTCAGGAAGCTCCACTGGGACTTAGCAACCAGGTTATTTTAGTAAGAAGCAATAGGGTGAAAGTCCCAGACAGGTTCCAAAAAAGAGCTATGAGCCCAGAAAGCTGCCTGGGTCAGTGAGGTTTGGATTCCACATCCTTTGGAAAAATTATTATGATACTAGTACAAATGAAAGAAAGGATGACAGGCATAATGCTAAGAAAGAAACAAAAAAGATCTGACAGCTAAGGACAAGCTGAAGATGACACCACATTTTTAGGAGTTGGTAACTAAAAGAATGAAGGTGCCAACAGTGGAAACAGAGATGCTCAAAACAAATAGTGGTTACAAAATAAAATGTAAATTGTCTCACCACAAATAAGTAAATGACTGCCCACAGATCCTTTCTCATTTTAACAGAGAATATGTGAACAACATCTATTTCAAGTAGGAGGAAAGATTACCAACAAAGTTTAAAAGATAGGCCAGAAGCCCCTGTTGACTCTACACTTTTGCCTAGCAGAGACCTCGTTTAACTTCAAGTAAAGGAGAACAGAACATGTTCCATTTGTGTTATTATCAAGGGAGCCACAAATATATGCAGTTGAGTTCTGAATGATTTCTAACACCTTCGTTCTTTAGCTTATGCTAGCAAAGTACTACTGCATATTCTAAGAACAATGTTGTATGTTCCATTAGACAAATTAAGAAAAGATCATTTCCTTGTAATAAGACAATACTTGGACTATAAAACATAGTTTTCCAAACTTTTGTCTATTCAATTATTTTCCATATACTTCACGTTAATATACATACTTACAGTGAACCTCTTTTTTTTCTCCCTGTGTTCATCAGAGCTTGGGATGCTAACACTTGGGCAGCTCTCTTTGCAGTCCATGGTACAGCCTCTTTGGATTAAATGTCTCAAATGGACACCACCAAAAAGAGTCTGAAGTAGTTTCCAATATTATACAAATTCAATAATACTGATCCAAAACATAAAGTTTCTTGGGAAAACATTCAAATTCCATCATGCAACCTTTAACAAAAAGAAAAAAAAAATAGAATTTAGAAACATCAAAAAATACTTTTATGTTCTGTCTTCTAGAGGTGTAAGAGTCTTTTGGGGGATCGTGAGATTAGACTGAGGTCATATAAAAAAAGCCTTGAGTGCCAGAAGGAGAAATGATAGAACATCTGCAGCAGCTAGAGATTTCTGAAAAAGGGATTAACATGATGAAATTGGTATCAATTTGTTTACTCTGCAGAATGATCTTCAAGAAGAGACTAAAAGTTGGAAAAGTAGTTTAAGAAATAGTCCAGGCATGAAGGATGTGATGAAAAGTAAGGGACAGATAAATGAGAGAGCTATTTTAAAAAAATTTCCACAGGACTTTGCAACTGGTTAAACAGAGAGGTTTGAGGGAGGAGTCAAAGAATGTTTCTACTGTTCCCAAATTTGAGTGGACTAGAAGTGTATCAATGACAATAGCCAACTTGGGAGAAGGTGTTTTGCAGCTTTTTGGTTGGCAAAGAAGGCACTGCGGATGAACTCAGGTTTGCTTACACTGAGTCTGATATGATACTAGATCATTCATTTATATGCATGCTCTGTGCTGAAAAACACAGGAACAAAGACTGATAAAATATCTAGATTTTAGTTATCAATACAGAACACAAATTGTTAAAACCTAGCTAGAGGAGATAGAATTCCTGAACCAAAGGAACAAATATGGAGTGAGAAGAACAGAGGGCCAAGGATTGAGCTTTGGGGGAATATGTGGTTAGGAGGCAGAAGAGAAAAAAGAGCCAAATATCAAGCTGATATGAAATGGTTAGAGACGCAGATTAAGTACAAAGTACAGCATCATGAAAATGAAATCAAGAGAGTTCCAAAAAGGGATCAAGTGACCATAACAGTGCCAAATAATACAGATAACAAGGAAATTAAACTCAAGTTAAGACACCACTCTTAGATTTGTCATAAGCATAGTATTAGATCATTTAAACTGCAATTCAATAGAGGTTCTGGAAGCCAGATTGCCAGAAGTTAAAAATGGAATAGATAGTAAGGATATGTAAGTAACAGGTGCCACTCTGCAGTGAAGAGAAATAAGATAATATCTAGCAGTCAGCAGAATCAACACAAAGTTTTCCAAAATGGAGAAAAATCTGGGCACGTATGAACACTAAAGGAATAAGTCAGTAGGGAGGGAAAGACAGAGGAAGAGGAATAAGTAAGGGAACACAATCCCTTGGAGTCTGAAAGAAATGCAATCAGGATGGAGATCAACTAGCAAATTAATGCATTTGGGTTGAAGAGTCAGTATGAAACTAAAGTTAATCGTGGCAGTTGTCAATGTAATTGGGAAAGATGCTGCACCTACATCCCCATTTGTAGGGCTCTGTAGCTGGGGCACTCTCCAAGGTGGCCGGACAAAGTTGTGTTTTATGGGACCCACGCTAGAACTGGCTTAGGGGTAAACAGATTCATCTATCTTTGAGTCAAGAAATCTCCAGACTAATCAAATCCCTAAGGAGTGCTGGTTCTGACCTACAAAACAGAAGCAGGAAGAAAACACGCTTGGTCAAGACAACTAATTCTGCCTCTGTACCAACTCAAAACAATCTGGTTCTCAAAGTATGAATGCCTCACAAGTATATGCTGATGAATCAATAATACCTGTATTACTGATAACCCTTGTACATTTCATGTGGTTTTGACATTCCTACTTGGACTTTATGTAGTCCTCTGATTTGTTACGGCATTCATCATGTCATGAGGTATATTACAGTTATCTTGGTGTCTTATCATCCTAGCTCCATGAAAACAAGGACGATTTCTTATCTAAACTTTGTCCCCTATCTAACATGCCATTCTGTCCATAGCAGGAATTTCACAAATGTTTGATACATTTGTCCTGATAAGATACAAAGCAAACAAAAAACCAAAAATACAGACCAATATCCTTAATGAATACAGACACAAAAATATTTAATAAAATATGAGCAAATTGCAAATACAGCAACATATTAGAAAGATTACACATGATGACCAGGTTGGGTTTATTACTAGGCATGCAAGACTGATTCAATAGTACAAACAAAATGAACTATATTAACGACACAAATAATAAAAACAAGATGAAGACAAATGCTAAAGAGGCTTTTCACAAAATCCAAATTCCATTTCTCTTAAAAACATAAGAAAGCATAGGAATAAATGGACTTTTCCTTAAGATAGTAAATAATGTTTATTTAAGACCAAGAGCCAGTATCTATGTAACAGAAAAGTTTTCTAATAGATCAACCAAGGATGTCCATTATCACCACAACTATTTAACACAGTGCTAGAAATGCTAGCTACACTAATAAGACAAGAAAGAGAAATCCAGGGAATAAGCAAAGCAAAGAAGTAACAAAATCATGTCTTTTTTCTTAATATGATGATTTACATAGAAAACTCGAGTCAAAAAAATTGAAACTATAATTAAGTTGTGGGATATAAAATAAATACACACAAATCATTAGCATTCCAGCATATTACTAACACAACCCAGCAGAAAGTGGAGTACAAAGACACAAAGAGAAATTCCATCCAAAATAACTACAGAAAGTATAAAATATTTGGCAACCTGCCTACTAAAACACACCTAGAAACTATACAACTAAAAAAGTCTTTATAGAAATAGAGACCTATATAATGAGGGGAAACATTAATTGTTCATGGTTAGGTCAAGCCAATACAGTTGAAAATGTGACTATTTTTATATATTTATTTTTAACTATAATAAGTAAAATAAGTTACCATACCAAAGTGCAATCAATCTACCAAAGGATTATTTTAGAGAGCTAGAATAAACAACAAGGAAATTCATCTGGAAGGATAAAAGGTTTAAGAATTTCAAGGGAAGCAATGAAAAACAACGGGGGGGGGGGCAGCTAGGTGACACAGTAGATAGAGCACCAGCCCTGGATTCAGGAGGACCTGAGTTCAAATCCAGCCTCTGACACATAACACTTACTAGCTGTGTGACCCCGGGCAAGTCTCTTAACTCCACGGCCTAGCCAAAAAAAGAAAAAGGGGGGGGGGGGGAAAGGAGGCCTACCAGTACCAGATCTCAAACTAAATAGTGATCACCAAAATGATTTGTTACTAGTTTTTAAAAAAAATAGAGAGATTAATCAGTAGAACTGGTTAAGGTATACAACATTCAGAATAGTGTTTGATAAACACAAAGATGCCAGTTACTGGGTTAAGAACTCATCATTTGGCAAAAAATGCCAGGAAAACTCAAAAGCAATCTGGCAGAAATTATGTCTATACCAAAATCTCACACTGCATGCCAAAGTAAACTCCAAATGGATTTGTGATTTAGACATAAAAGATATCATCATAAGCAAATTATAGAGGAACCAGGAAGAAAATACCCAGCTGATCTATGAATAGAGGAAGAGTTCATGACCAAACAAAGGACAGTGAGTATCACAGAAGATAAAATGGACAATTTTGTTTGCATAAAATTTAAGTCTTTGTGAGAAAACAAAACAAAACAAAAAACCAATATGCTTAAATCAGAAGAGCAACTGGGAAAAAAACTATTTGTAGCAAATTTTTCTGATACAGAAAAATTTCTGAGATATATAAGGAACTGATTCAAATTTATAAGAATTGATAGGGCAGAGGATATGAATAGGTCATTTTCAAAGGAAGAAATCCAAGCTATCAACAAGTACATGAAAAAATGCTCCAAATCACTAATAGTTTAAGAAATGAGCATTATAAAAATTCAAAGTCTATCTCATACCCATTAGATGAAAATGATAAATGCTGGAGGGGATGCAGGAAAATAGGCACATTGATGTATCTGATACAGTCAATTTGGAAGGTTTTTTTTTTTTAAGGCAATTGGGGTTAAGTGACTTGCCCAGGGTCACACAGCTAGTAGGTGTCAAGTGTTTGGTCTGAAGCCGGATTTGAACTCAGGTACTCCTGACTTTAAGCCTGGTGTTCTTTCCCCTGCACCACGGAGCTGCTCCTGACACAGTCAATTTGGAAAGCAATTTGGAATTCTGCCTTCAAAGGTCTAACTATGGCAAATAGCTCTTTGATCTAGCAATACCACTACTTGACATACACCCCAAAGAGATCAAAGAAAGAGAAAAAGTACCCATAAATATGAAGTATTCTTTTTACAGAAGGACTTTAAAGAAGTGACCCACTTACTGGAGAATGACTAAATAAATGTAGTATATATGAATATAATGGAATACTATTAAACCATAAGAATGAAAAAATGGGCAGTTTCTGAATAAACTGGGAAGACCTCTATGAACTGATGAAAAGTGTAATGAGCAGAATTAAAACAATATACAATTACATTATAAAGAAAAACAACTTTGAAAGTCTTTAGAACTCTAATCAATGCAATGACAAACCACAATTTCAGAGAACTGATGATGAACCATGCTACATACTAATCTCCTAACAGAAATGTGATGGAATTAAAATGTAGAATGAGACAATTTTTGGAGTCCATGAATGTTGTCTGATTAAGCATATTTCTTATGAAGGTTTTCTTTTTCTTAATGACTCAATTGTGGAGAGGTTGGTGGGGTAAAAAGAAATGCTAAAAAAAAAAAAAAAAAGGAAAATAAAAATATGAACTGGACCAGTTCTTCTCTCCAGGTACAGGGACTCTCTTGATGCCAGGACCCCCATCGAAGGGCACAGTGAGATCCACTCAATCTTAAGACCTGGACTTGGGGCTGAGCAATCTTGATGGGTTAGTATCTGAGTTAAGACACCCCCTCCCCAGACACAGACACTCTCTCTCTGTCCCTCTCTCTCTCTAACCAGTACAAGATCAATCAGGATTCACATCCTAACCAGTCATCCACCAGGACATCAGGACTTACCTAGCATGCGTATCTTTGTTGATTGCTCTGTTACTACATATTACCACTGGTCCTGCCCCACCCCCATCCCTTGCTTTGGGAATAATCATCAAATTAATTGCTATCAGAAAAGATGACAAT